AGAGAGGTTTCAGTGACTTGCCCACAGACACAAAGCTATTAAATACCTGTTGTAGAATTTGAACTCAGGTCTTCCTGCCTTAAAGCCCAGTGCTCTATCCACTTTGCCAGGAGCTCCTTCCTTTTGGCCCACCAAAATCCCTCTTGCCTAGTAGAGTGCCTTATATGCAATAAGCACTTAATATATTTCTGTTGAACTATATAGTAGAAGAATAAGGAATGATAAAAGGTATTAGATTTATTGTTAAGGAAGAACTGAGCAACTCAAATGTGTGTGTATGTATATATCCATTTACATAAAATACTCAAATATATAAAATAATCAATATAAAATATGTAAAATGTATATTTGTATGTAAAATACTGAATATGTAAGATACTCTACATATTGATATATTAAAATACTCACATAGATAGGATCTCCTGGATAATCCACTCATGCCTACCCATCCTTTGCAACTCTTGGCCAAATCTTCCCAAAAGTTTGCCACAAAGGATCTGTCTACCCACTATGCTGGAGATCTTCCTCACTTTCTCTGACACTGTAAGGGTACCATTTAGTGGAGGAGCACTGTGGCTGTCCACCTGTCATTCCTTGCTTGTGTCTATCTTGACCAAGGGAAACTTAGGGACAGTAAAGGAGTTCTGTAATTCCCCCAAAGCAGTCTAGCTCTCTCTCTCTTCAATATTTTTCTGAGTGGCTCAGAGAAATTTCAGGAGTGGTGAGGAGTAAAGTGGTGAAATCACCAGGGGCTGAGGAATGCATAATCATAAGAAAGGTCAAGGCAACAGATGTTGACTACTTTTGCTAGACATCTGTCAGTAAAGTTTGAAGAAAATGAGATATGTTCAAATGGCATCTCAAACTCAAATGGTCACAAAATGCCTTCAACATCCTCTCTTCAACCTGATCCTCCTCTGAACTGTTATTTCTGTTAATGGGACCTCAAATTAACGGTATGCTTTCAGACACTCAGCCTGGAAAAACCTCATTATCATATTTGGTTCCTCCCTCTCTATCACCTCTCACATCCAATAAACTGTCAAGGGCCATCAATCTTACCCTTCAAGTACTCTGTCATATCAGTTTCCTCCTCTCCCTTCCCAGTATCATTTGGGCCCTCAGTAGCTCTCACTCCAATAACTGTAATAACCTCCCTACTTCCAGTTTCTCCATCACACCAGTATTAGACTCAATTGTGTCAGTCCCCTACTGAACAAATCTTAAATGGCTTCCTATTACCTTCCAAATAAAGTCTAAGCTCCCCAAGCCTAGAATTCAAGCCCCATCCTATCCTTATCTGCCCCAAACCCAGCCTTTCATCCCTCAGTACTTATCACGTATTCTACATTCCAGCCAAAATGGAATGTCATATCCTTATCAGTCCTTCCCTTCCCTAAGTCTACAACATATGGAATGCACTATTCCACCCTGTCTTTACCCACTGAACTCCTTATCCATCAAATCTTCACCTTCATGAAATCTCCCTTAACTTCCCCATCGAGAAATGGCAATCTCCTTAAATCTCTCATGGTACTGTGCAAATCTCCAACATACTGTAAACATGCCTTAGGGTCCCCATGTTACCAGATGGTTCATTGCAGGGACAGGCTTTGGATATTACTTCATCTTTGTATCTTCAAAACGTGGCCCACAGCCTTCTGTGCACATGGCACCTCTATCGAATTCTGTGTTGCTATTTCTGTGTCATATTTTTCTGCTAGATTCTAAGCTACTGAATGGGCAGAGACCTATCTAATTTAGACTTTGCATCTTCCTCAGTGACTGGAACAGTGCCCTGTACACTCTAGGCTCTTAATAAATGTTTGCTGAATGGATGAAAGTAGATGCTTAATAAATGTATAATTGAATCGTTAAACCAAAGCTCCTTGGCAAAATATCTTTCCTAAGGAGAAAGATTTGTGCTCAATTAGTCAAAAAGGCTGATTCTCATCAATTCTGTACACAGGTACTGATAGGAGGGTAGCCTAATAATTGACATTTTATGAGCTGATAGAATTTGATATTTCTAAGGCAAAAGCATGAGCTGAAGAAACTGGTAATTTGACAATTACTATATTACTCATTTCTGAGGAACTATAAGTTATGAATCATGACAAAGAATAAATATGAAGGCACTGCTATACAATATTATACTCAGAACTTAAGGCACAGATTATTCTGGGCCTACTTTGGTTGCACAAATACAGAAGGTGTCCAGGTGCCTATTTTGAAAGATGAATAAAAATACTCATTAATATTCACAGTTCTTCATAATATTCATAAAATCTTGGGGAAAATGTTCCAGTAACATCTAACTTAGTTTATGTTATGGTGCTTCCAGTCTGCCTAGTTGCTATTTACAAAGCAATTACTGGCAAACACAAACTTGTTAGTGGTTTGTGTTAAAGCACCTTAAAAATTTCTATTACTAAACTTGGGGCATGTCTATGTAGTATATAAGATTACCATATGAGATAATCTGAGCACTATTTCTCACTTACTGCTAAAGTACTTCTTAAAAGTATTTCTCATCTTTCTTTGTCATAACTAATCTTTGAAAAACAGAAAACAAAGTTTTTAAAAGAACTTACCAAAACAACTGTGTAAAATAGCAGTCCACCCAAAATCTTGTTCAAGACTAACTATATAATGCTGAGGATTCTAAGATAGATACTATAAAATAACATGGATAGAAGAAAATGATTGTTTTTATGATATTACTGGAGAGTTCATGGGGCAAAAAAATCTCTAAGGCAGGACCTCTGCTAAAAGGGATAAAAATAATTACAATTAAGTAAATAAGATAAAGCTGGTATAAAAATCATAGGACCTTAACCCTTGTTCAACACAGAGCCAGGCCCTCCTTCTTAACAAATCAGGAAACAGGCCTACAGACCATCGTCACTATAGCTTATACTTACATAGCATCTTAGAGTTAGAATGCATTTTCTTGTACATTATATCCTAAAAATTTAGTTGGAAAAGAGCACTGAAATCATCTAATGCTAGCCCTAGAGATGTATTAAATCCTTCCCTTAATCATTTTTGACAAATGGCCACCCAGCCTCTGCTAGAACACCATATATAACCTTGAATCATGTATGACTTTAGGGATAAAGAGGATCCTGAGAAGGTTAAATGCACTGGAAAACTGGATAGTGATCAATTTGACTAATGGTACATATATTTTTACACAAGGATCAAATTACTATTTGATACCCTGAAAATATGATTTTTATCTCTTCCTGATGGCCAGGGTTCTAAAAAAAATGAAGATGTCATGCAGTTTGTCTTTCTAAAACTCATGAGATCCTAGATCAAGAGCTGGAAGAGACGTCAGAGGTCATCTAGTTCAACCCCTAACTCTTAATATGAGGAAACTGAGGCCCAAAAAGGTTAATTAACTTGTCCAAGGACAAACAGAGACCAGAGCCTGGAACTGAACTCAAGTCCCCTGACTCCAAGTCAAAGCTTTTTACACTACACAAAGACGTCTTCATCCTGATGAGGGGAAGAGGGTGAGGAAGAGACACACAACTGTATCAAGAATCAGACCTGTGATTACACTGGCATTTGAAACTCTGGAGGAGTGACAAAGATTAAGAGGTTAAAATAATTAAAAACACAGTTATGTCCATCTGCATGTAGTGCCACTGACTTCATTAAACAAGGATGACAAATTCACTCTAGCATCTGCTACCCTACTACTATGGCAATTTAACATCAAATTTAGCAGTATACATTAAAAGAGAGGAACTCTTTCCTGAGCATAAGTTTCAGTAATAACAAACAGGAAGAGAGAGTTCTACTCTCCTGGGGCCTTGGGTGAACTATGAGACAAGGAGATGATACAGTTTGTATCATTTTTCCCTTTTAAAAACAAAAACAACCCACTTCCATCACTTCCCCAGGCTCACTGGTTTCCTTACTATTTACCCTTGTTAAAAAAAAAAAAAAGAGTTAAACTGAAGTTAATATAAAATGTGAACACCTATTAACCTGATCAATAGACATTCCAAAGCATTTTCTTCTCAGCAACATGCCTTCCTTACAGCCATCATTCAAACATTACATATGATTTAGTACAGGTAAGATGAAGTCAAGGTGGGGTGATAGAGTGAAATTTCCCAATGTACCCTGTATTTGGTAACTGCATGATTTATCTCCAAAGCATGAAATCTGTTCCCTAGGCCACACCAGTGTGGGGAGAGAGGACAAATCAAAGACCTGTCCTTCCCTCAACATACATACAAATGATCACCATGAAAGGCAGCAGATACTCTCAAATGCCAAGGGCAACCACTCACTGGCAAACACACAGGCAAAGCGCCTATGGAAATCTGCCCAAGGAAAGAGAGACAACACCATACTGAGACAAAATGGATCTTGTCTATAGGGTTTCAGTCTGTAGGCTGTGGATGAGGCAGCTTGGAGGAATTCTTTAAGACTGAAGTGAGAAGTGTGGGGTGTGTCTGTAAAATAGAGAACTAAAGGGAAGGAAGGAAGGAAGAAAGGAAGGAAGGAGAGTTTTGGAAATTCCTTCAAAAGCCCACAGCTAAAAGGTCGGTTGGTTTGACAGCCCAAAAGCACAAGAATCCACCTCCCCTCCTTTTCCCCCTTTTTCCCCCCTCCAGAGACCCAAGCTCGTAAACATGAATCTCTGGAGAGCCTCCTTCTCCTCCTGGGTGTGGGCTGGGTGGGCATGAGTGGGGCGTGGAGGGGAATGTCTTCAGGGATGTCAGCTCGGGGTGGGGGGGAGGTTTGAATGGTGCTCCCATCCTGGTCAAGCTCCGCCTCTCCTTCATCCCTCCATCCCTTCCCACCCTGCTGCCTCCATCCTCCATGCCCCCTACCCCAATGCCTCCCACCCCTGCCCCCCGACCCCATCCCGGCGTCTTCATCCCCCCAGCTCTCCGAGCGGTGGCCGCGGCCCGAGGCCGGCCGGCCCTCTCGCCTGGCCGGTGTCCCGGGGCCCACGCCGGCGGCCGGCTCCTCACCTGGTAAAGGCGAAGTACATGAGGCTGACGATGGTGAAGCTGAGCAGGGTGATGGTGTGCGGCCGGTAGAAGAAGTCGATGGTGATGTCCTCCACTTGCTGCTCGTTGATCATCCGGAAATGCAGCTTGTAGTTCACATCGTCTTTGCTCAGCGTCCGGCTCCCCACGCAGGACGCCATGACCCCCCCAGACCACCACCCCCACACCTCTCCCCGTCCTGCAGGAGCGCCAGCGGTGGCGGAGGAGGAGGTGGGGGTGGCCGCAGCTGCCTCGGCCCGCGCCAGGGACCAGCGAGGGAGGGACCGAAGGAGGCTGGGCAGGGTGGGCAGGCTGGCCGGCTGCCGGGCCGGGCCGGCGGGAGGGCGAACGAGTGGCCGACTGTAGCCGGGAGTGAAGGTGAGCAGAGGCGGGAGCGCGCGCACGCGCGCGGGCGAGCGAGCGAGAGAGCGAGGGAGGCAGGGAAGCGATGACAGTGGTTCTGCTTTCTCTGCTTAGGAAGGAGAGGGGGACGTAGAGCCCTGAAAAGGTCAGTCAAGGGGAAAAAGGGATTTCTGCTCCTTAAAAATTTGTCCCTACTCCCTTACTGAATAAAGTTTAGAGAAAGTAAGACGAAAGAAGGAAAAATGCATCGCTATGTGTCATCTTCTCCCGCTCCATTCCCTCTTCACTCCCCCCGCCGCGGCTGCAGATGGGTTCGCCCACTACGGGCAGCCCACGTGGGGAGAAGGAGCTAGGCTGAGCTCGGCGCGGGCGCGGCGTGAGCCGGAGGGCGGCGGACCCCGGTGCTGGCCAGGAGGTGTGGAGGATCGTGGAGGAGCCCGAGAAGCCGCAGACGCCGCCGCCAGAGCCCCGGGGGGATCGCGGTGAGAGGGCGGCAGGCTGGGCCGTCGTTTCCCAGAGGCCCTGGCTTTGTGATCCCGGCTATCGCAGGGCGGAGGAGGACGGGGCGTGACCTGCCGCAGGTAAAGTCGCGTGAAGGTGTTTCCGCGACTGGGGGTTGAGGGCCGTCTGACGCTCCCAGCCGGGTCCACACCCTTGGGATAATGAACCTGGTTCCTGCCACTCGCTCTCTCCCCCTTTGGCCCTGATTGTCTGTGGGCAAAAATCCTGTTTACTCCCGGCCTGGCCGGCGTATTTTTGAATTATGGGGCTCTCCTCTGCTTGCTAGGAAGCCGTGGTGCGGACTTGGAGGAAGCGGTTGGGGTAGTGTAGGCCTTTTTTTTCATCTTTTTATGGACCCTCCCCTTAATAGCAGACTGGTAAAGTCTGTGGACCCTTTCTCAGAATAATATTTTTAAATGCACGAAATAAAGCCTGATTACAAAGGCAACTAATTATATTGAAACAGTTATTAGAATATTAAAAGTTCCACGTTCACGGACTCCCTGAAATCTGCCCATGGATCCTCTAGGTGGACAGCAGGTTAAGAACCCCTGGTGTCAAGCCCAATTTATAAAGGGGCTTCCATGCTACCCCCTGAGGCCAGAGTCTGGCAGTCTTAAAATAGATTATTAGAGGGTAGTTTATAGTCTCCGAACACTCTTTAGCTTTTTGTATTCATTCCCTATGAGAGTGTCCCAGGTGTTATCTATACTGAGGGGGAGAAAATGATCTAGTAAAGGCAATAGCTAGCTTGGCACTATGCACACCGTGTAACTATCATTGAATATTTTAATGAACTACAAACTTAATTAAGGTTTTTTTTTCCCTCCTGTGGAAATTGGTTCCCATAAGACAAATTATCAGGTGGAATTTATAAGCATTCTCTAATGTATTGTTCTTTGCCAAGCACTATAGAAGCAAATTAGTAGTTCCCAGGTAAGTGTTAATTTAAAATATACAAAGAGCATTAGATGTGGAGCTGGAGAGGGCCTGGGTGGGAATCCTGGTTTTGCTGTTAATTTGAATAACTTGAGTAATGGTGGTGTAAGGGGTGTTCAGGAGGACTAGAACCTCTGGTGTGGGGGCTCGTTTGGCCCTTTTCAGGGCTGCTCATTTACCTTTGGTGTCTACCTGATTCATCCAACTCTCATCTGTGGCTGCAAAGAAGCTGTAGCATTCAAATTGCCCACCCCCAGGTAAACTGTGTCAGCAGAGGGTCTAACCCATGTTGAAGGTAACCGACAGGCCTCAAACCCATCCATTTGGACACCTCAAACCTGTCAGTGAGTTAGAGGGACGTCTACCCCAAGCATGTGAAGACTTCCTCTTCTTCCCACCCTCCTAATCCACTATATCCCTGGCCATCACCTGTCTTGACTTTTGTCCTGCCACTGGACTTTGATGTCTCAGGAAGTGAGAGTGAGGCTTACAACTTTGTGCAACTCTGCTTCACTTAAATCCAATTCAAACGAAAGTCATCACTCCATGATGTAATTGGTTTTCTTTTCCAGTTAATTTTTGTCCTTCCTTTCCCAAGCTATTGACTCTTTTTTGTATACCTCTCATTTCTTTTACCATTTTTTTCTACCTCTCTTATTTGACTTTTAAAATCCTTCTTGAGCTCTTCCAAGCTTTTTGGGCTTGAGACCAGTTCATATTCCCCTTTGAGGTTTTAGATGTGGATATATTGACAATGTTGTCTTCTTCTGAGTTTGTGCCTTGACCTTCCCTTTCCCCATAATAAGAATCTTTGGTCATTTTTTGTTTCTGCTTTTTGTTCGTGGTGTTTGCCTGTTTCCTAACTTTAAAAAATTTTTTTTGAGTTCTCCTTCTGGAGGGCAGGGGGCACTTACCCAGGTTTCTTTTCCTGCTCACCCTGGCCTTGCAAGGGTATGTTTTGATGCTAGTGAATGTCGGTCAGCCTGGAGCTTTGCCTCCTGGAGTTGTGCTTTCCAGAGTTGTGTTGAGGCACCAGGTGAATTCACTGCTGGAGAACCCTATTGCACGTGGTGGTTTTCCAGGCTGGTTTCTACAGGTTCCCCTACCTGTATTGAGGCTCTTAGGGGTCCTTGTGTTGGCACTTGTCTGCTCCACCAACCTGGGTCTCAGGATCTCCCCCTGGTATGCTGAGGTGGGGCTTGCTGGCTTTCTGGGATACCTTTTGTCCTGTACTGCACCCCCTCCCACAGAATGAGAGGGGTCGTTTCTGTTAATACCCCAAGCTCCGTGGGCTACAAGACTGCTGTGCCCTGTCTTTTTGCTGGTTCAGGGTTTTTCCTGGGTCGATATTTTCTGGGCTTTCAGAGGTCAGTGAAGGAGAGTGAGAGCAATTTACTTCTTACTCTGACATCTCTGCCATGGCTAGATCTCTTGTTGCTGTTGTTTGTCCTTCGTCCTTGAGGAAGACCATGAACATGACATCAGGGAGGTGATGACTTGACTTGCAAATTGACTTTGATTTGAGTGAGGGAGGGTTGTGCAAAGTCACCAGCCTCACTTTCTCCTCAGTCCTCTTTTAAAATGAAGGATAAACAACAACCTAAGTAACTAGGGGGCCAGCTAGTACCTTGTGAGCTCCTTAAAAGTAGGGATTGTGTGTTTGCTTATCTTTGTATCCCTTGTACGTATCACTGTTCCTGGGACTTAGTGCTTAATAAATGCTTGTTAACTTGAACTTTTATGACTCCAGCTTCCTCTTGTGTAAAATGTAATTGGATTAAATGATCCCTAAGGTCCTTTTCCTCTCTAATGTTCTATGGTTCTATTTACCTGTGTGTAAGCTATTCATTGTCTTTGTCCATTTCTCCTATTTTACAGATAGACTTGAGATCTAAAGTGATCAAGTTACTTGCTCATAGTTAAACAACTAGCTAGTGGCAGTCAGGATTAAAACCTTGTGCCCCTTAATTCAGGGTCAGTCATAAGAGTTCCAGATGACTGGACTGAATTGGGAGCTGTATTCATATAGTCTGGAATTCACACATTTAGATGGATATATATATATAGATAGTGCATTTATTAAGCACTTGCTATGTACCAGGCACTAGAAATACAAATATAAGCAAAAAGAAAGACTTTCTTTACCCTCAAGGAGCTTACATTCTAGATAACATATAACAAGGTGTAGAAAAAGGTGGGAGGTACTAAGAACTAAGGTTCAGAAGAATTCTGGGTAGTTATGGGCTGAAGGAGGTTTGCAGTAAGCCTGGCATGGGTGCTTCCTCAAATAGACATCTGGGGACAACTTGCCAATCAGAGGAGGAGCTTGTAGGGTTCAATTTGAAGATGACTACTGGGGGTTATTTTGAGGGAGGGTAGTAAAGTGCTTAGTAATAGAATTGTAGAGCTATGTTGTGGTAGATCCTCAATCTTATCTGTAAATAAGGGTCCAGCCTCCTTGAAGAGGGGAAAACTGAAGTCCTAAGAGTTTGTGACTTATCCAGCATCATACAGATAGTAGCGAGTCTGGTCTTTGACTCCAGATCCATGGCACTGTGGAAAGGATACTTGAATTTGGAGTCAAAGGACCTGGATTTGAGTCATGGCTCTGCCACTTAATACTGTGTGACCTTGGGCACTTCACAGCTCAATTTCTTCATCTGAGGAGCAGTTAGGTGGCACAGTAGATAGGGCACCAGGCCTGGAGTCAGGATGACCTGAGTTCAAATGCAGCCTAAGACACTTACTAGTTGTGTGACCCTGGGCAAGTCATTTAGCCTCTGTCTTAGTTTATACTAATAGCACCTACCTCCTAGGACTGTTGTGATCATCAAATGAGATAGTAATTGTAAAGCACTTACCTCAGTCTAGCACACAGTAAGTGCTACATAAATGTTAGCTATGATTATTATTATCTGTATAGCAAAGGAACTGGACCCTTATGAAGAAAGTCTGTGATAAAGGTGTTGGACTATATAGCTTTTAAGATCCCTTCTGACTCCAAATCTCTAATCTCTGATCCTATGACCCCAAAATATAGAGTTCTTCTGTCTCATTCGAACCCCAGGAAATTATAATGGTGCAACCCCTTAATTTTATGATGAAGAAACTGAGGCCCTTAAAAGTTAATTTACTTTTACAAGTTCACACAGCCAGTTAACAGAATTGGGTCTGAAACTCAGGTTCTTAAATGCACTATAGCTTTAAGGAGTAGAATCATTTCTTAAAGCACGATAATATTTCATTATATTCACATACCACACTTCGTTTCAATTCTTTGTTATTACAAAAAGTGCTGCTGTAATTGTTTTGGTGTGTATGGAGACTTTTCTTCTGTCAGCGGCCTCCTTGTAGTAGAATTTTAGTAATGGAATCTCTGAGTCAACGTTTATTAACATTTTAGTCACTTTATTTCAGTAGTTCCTAATTCCTTTCCAAAATAGCCTCACTGATTCACAGCTCTGCCAGCAACACACCATTGTGCCTATCTTCCCCAAGTCTCTCCATCATTGACCACTGTCATCTTTTGTTATTTTTGTCAATTGTGAGTGAGTTGAATGGGGTGAAACTGAAACTTTGGGGTTGTTTTGATTTGCATTTCTCTTATTCTTTTTCTTTCAAATAGTTAATAGTTTGAATTCTTTTCAGTACTGTTTGGCCATATCTTTTGATAACTAATCTTTGGGGAATGGCTTTTGCTCTTTTTTATGTGTATGTGTTAATTGTTTATGATTCTTGGATATCAGGTTCTTATCTGATAAATTTGATGTGAAGATTTTTTACCCATTGATTTTTTTTTCCTTTTTGTGGTAGGTGCATTTTTTTTGTGCAGAAGTTTTCAGTTTCATGTAATCCAAGTTAACTATTTTTGTCTGATTAAGTACATGTCCTACTCAAAACTGTGAAAGGTATATGATCTCTTCTCTTCTAATTTTTTATAGCATAAAATTTAATACTAAGGTCATATATCCATTTAGAACATATTGTGGAATATGTATTGTGTAAGCCTAATTTTTTGCTTAACATCTTTTTAAAGTTTTCTCTTTTTTAATTAAAATCACATAGGAAGTTCTTTCCTATAAAATACATTTTCCAGTTTATCAAACACTGGATTTTTGAGTTCTGTTGTTTATGATTCTTT